TGTTTCTTGTTCTTACGTAATACGCATTAAAATTATTATTTGTAGTGTTAAATATAGTCAACAATACATTTTGTAAAATTCTCCAGCATTGTCAAATCTAAATCACATTTTAAAGAGGCTATAAAAGCAATAAAAAATAAAAAAACTATTGCATGACTAAGTAGCACTTTCCGCAGATTAGGTTCAAATTTGTTACCATAAATGCACTCTCTTTTTTCGTAATTACATAACTGGAATTTGTCCATTGTAATGTTTTTTTATCATTAAAGGCTATTTAGAAAGCATATAAGCAGCTATTTCAAATGTATGCAGCTATTTCAATGCAGCTAATTCAATGGATGAATCATAAGTTTTTTATTGATAAGTGAGTTCCTTATTTGAAATATCCGTAACCATAATTAGAGTAATGAAAAAATAACTTTTATTCAACTGGGGAATTTAGCTTATTAGGTTTTTACTTGAAATTATTCAGTTTTCTGAATTTTTATTCTTTGTCATTTCTGATATCGCGATTCGATTTGCTTGCAGACACGGATATTACCTAGTTTAAAGTGATGTAAAAACTTGCATAGATAAATTCAAATATTTTATGAACATTTTTTAATCAAATAATTAAACAGTAATGTAGGAAAATTAATTTTTGCGTGGAATTATTTCTAAATGAACGATCTTTATACTATTATTGGCACTGAGTGTGTTAAAATCCGAGAATTAGATGAAAAGTTATTCAAAATTATATTTTTTTTTTGCTCAGATGCTTCTGTATATATATGTAAGTGCACGCTTATAATGTTAGAAATAATCTCGCCTAGTTTAAAAATATGTAAATATAAAAAGATACTTATAGAACAAGGATAAAACGTTAAAAATCAATCACAGTTTCAAAGGAAACAATCTATTGTTATTTCTAATAATAAAGAAATTAAAATATTATAAAATAATCAGCAAATATTTCGTGATTTACTTGCAACTGGTACCAAACATCAATTAACTTAAGAATAGAAAGATGAAATTGATAAACATTTCAAAAGAATAAAGGAAAATATGCAAATAATTTTAATTGAAATTTTGTCATTGTGTTTATCTTTTTGATGAGTTAAAAGAGAAATTTAATAACTGAATTATCTGATAAAGAAAACTTAATAAATAGTTCGCTACAATGAACTTTTTGCGAAGAAAATGCTGTTTTTTTTCTATTATCTTATTACAATAAGTCTAATAAATGCATAAAAAAACTAAATTAAAATGGCATTCAACTAGAAAATTTATCACTTTAAACATTTTTATACCGTAATACCTTTCGATCATATATAAATTAAAGTAAGACTTTGTAGATGCAAAGGTGTTTTTCTTTTATAAGTCCAGAAATACTTGAGTTTGCGTTCTGAAATTCGGACGGCAGGTGAGAGGTGCAATTTTAGCCGCCGATCCTTAAAATCGCTCAAAACTTCGCTCTAGAGCAGAGATCGCCAAACTTTTTTGATCATCGACCCCTATATAATTTTTCGAAATCTCCATCGACCCCCACAAAAGTAATTTTCTGTTAATTAAAATAAAACTCTATTAGATACTGTGTTGTTCATAATTTTAAACATTTATTAAAGTAATAGTACATTGTGTAACAATAGTTTTATGAAAAATATATATACCTTGGTATAATCTTCGAACC